ACACAGGGTCGCAACTAGTGTCACTATTCGTTCTTATGGCGTTGTTGTCACGCGAGCATGGGAGCGCACCAGCGCTGCAAAACACACACACCCCTTGAAACTGTCTTGGAACGCCACCTGAACTGAATAAGGACAAGCGTTGAGTTTGAGGATGACGGCATCTCAGCCTCAAGTTTTATTGCGATGAGGTTTTGCATCAGCCTGAGACATCCACAGCCATTCATGGATTTGGTTTGTTTACAGCCTCAAGTTGTCTCCTCCGCAGCAAGTGCGTAGCTGCTAATCTTTGTGCACAATGTTACTTTGGTTACGTGCGAGGTCCACACGTTGCTGGGGTGGGATGTGCTGGAGCCAGCTGCAGAGCTTCTCCTAACAGCAAGAAGGTCACCGGAGCATAGCTTGGCCATGATTACGCAGCAGAGCAAAACATTTTAGCACTGCTCGCGATATTGATTTTTCAAAATACGATGTGCAAAATGCTAAGAAATATGCTTCAACGCATATATAGAAACGCCAACCTATGTGGAGTGAGGTGGCTCATGAAAAGAGGCTGCACCGCATGCACGCGGAGTGCACGCACATAAAGCAAACCACAAAGAACCAACACAAATCAATGCTGTGCTCACCCCCCCACCCCCCCTGTTTAAAGCACATGTTTTGTGTACGACTTCATGGTCACCACACAGGGAAGAATTCTGATTATAAATCTTTCATGGAATTTTCTGTATTGCCGTTCTGCGACTAGACACTTGACCAGTGAGCTTTCAATTGTGCTAATAGAGATACCATAACGCTGGTGGTTAGCCCCTTGGGTTTCTGTTTAAAGACTCTAATTTACTGTAACATTTTAAACATGTGCATCAATACAGACTGCAGTGCATTACTATGCCACGCTTTCAGTAGCCTCTGCTTTAAGCCGTGGCAGTTTTGGCACATCACTCGTGCAATTCCCATGTCATTGCACATATGCCATTGGTGTAATGGGTAATTTCATCAACATAATTGTGAAAAAAATGGTGCCTTTGGTTGAGTAGAAACTGTGTAACACAATTTTCACAGGACCGCAAAATAGGACATCTTAAAATGTAAAAACCAGTTGCGTTTGTTGAAAATAATTATTCCGAGTCTGAAAGGGCTAAATAATAGTGCAATATATTTGATGTATGTTGACTAAACATGCACACGAATTGAACAACTGTTCAAGGGACTCATTTCTCATACACTCCCTCTCCTCTCCCCCAATTCTTTAATAAGGCACAGTGCTCCTCTAACTGCCAAATGTAGCTTCTATTCTTCGCTCCTGTTTGTCATTGATAAAATTGATTGATTGTAGAACATCCCCTTTTTTTTTCACTTCTTGGTGTCATGTAGCATGCGATCATCATGAGCTGGCAGGGGACCAATAATCCCTCGCATACAGCCTAAAGGCACTAAGTCTGCCAGAACGAGACCCTCTCTATGAATGAAGGAAAGGGGTGTAAACGTAGGGGCTCATTTCTTTGCTAGACACGATATTCGTGAGAATTGGCAGTCAATGACGCCAATGAAAGTACAGGAATGTTATTAGTAGTAATTGTAATGTAAATGTAAAGAAAGAAAAGTGGAGGAAAAGATAACCTCCCACCAGCACGGACGGAAGCTGCGACCTTCGAATAATGCATCCGATAGTCTACCAACTGAGATATAGCGGTGGTCCTCTCCCCACCCACTTTATAGCGTATATATGAGCATTTCACCATAGGAATGTCAGCAATGCCACAAGCCATTACTGTGAGTGTGCAACACTTTTTTTTCTTGCCTATAGGCATCACGTAGCAAGTGGTCTTATGAACAACAATATTAATGTGAACTAACACATTAATATTGCCAAGAGAAGTATAGGGGACGTTATTAGATGTAATTGTAATAGAAATGTAAAGAAACAAAAGTGCAAAAAAAAAAAAAAGATAACTTGCCACCGTCAGGATCCGAACCTGCGACCTTCGAATAACGCATTCGATGCTCTACCATCGAGCTACGTTTGCAGTCATCCCTCCGTCCACTTTATTGGGTATATATGTGCATTCAAACATGGGAGCATCAGTCAGCACCACCTCTATATATCTATAATGTAGATGGAGGGATGGCCGCCACTATAGCTTAGTGGTAGAGCATCGGATGCGGTATTCGAAGGTCGCAGGTTCGGAATCTGCCGGCGGCAAGTTATCTTTTTGTCCATTTTTTTTCTTCACAATTCTATAATAATTGCACATAATAATATCCCATATACTTCTCTTAGCATCATTGTCTGTTAGTTCTCAACCATATTGCATCCAAAAAAAAAAACAAGCCTTTCAATTTACACTTCTTTTCTAATCATGAGCTGACCAATAATCCCTCACATACTACTTGGAGCCATAAAGTCCGCCAGAACAAGACTCTCACTATGAATGAAGAAAAGACACTTTTTTCTTCATTCATAATGAAGGTCTCATTCTGGCAGACCTGATGCAAGAGTCAGCTGCCATCTCGTAATAAGAACACATGTTACATGGCACCAACAGGCTAAAAACTGGCCATAATGGCTACTGGCATTGCTGACTGACACTTCCACATTTAAGTGCACACGTATACCCTACTAAGAGGATCGAGGAATGACCACTGCCGTAGCACAGTTGGTAGAGCATCACACACGTTATTCAAAGGTCAGAGGTTTGGACCCTGCCAGCTGCCCACTTTTTTTTTCTCCAGATTTCCATTAGCTACAACTAATAACATCCACTATACTTTCCTTGGAATAATTGTCTGCTAGTTCTCACTAATATTGTGTTTCACAGTATTCAGAAAGACTCAAGTGGCTGTCAAACTTCCTTTTTCTACATATGGGCGTCGAAAGAAAGCATTGAGTGATATGTGGGGTTTAACTTCTCAAAACCACCATATCATTATGAAACACACCGTAGCGGAGGGCTCCGGAAATTTTGACCACCTGGGGTTCTTTAACATGCACCCAAATCTGAGCACACGGGCCTACAGCATTTTCGTCTCCATCGAAAATGCAGCCACCACAGCTGAAATTCGATTATACAACCTACGGGTAAGCAGCCGAGTACCTTTACTAAATCACCGCAGCGGGACATCAAAAGAAAGCATGTAGTAATGCTTTCATGTGTTCACACTAGCTGTTACTGCTTTTTGCTTTCAAAGGGCAGAATCACACACAACTGTTTGATTATTAATGTAAATATTTTAGAACCCCAAGGTATCACAATGGCGACAAGAAATTAGCACGCTGGCGGGCTCTGAATCACTTATGACCACCTGGAGGTTGTCATCGCGTGCCCAAGGCTTGGTGTGTAAGTATTATACAACCAACTTAGAATGCACTAACTAAAACTGTAAAATTAAGCTGTGACCTCCAAACTAAATTTTAGTGGATGGTCATTTTCTTCCTATTCTTATTTTCTGCATCAATCTTTATGAAAACCAACAAACAATGAAGCCAATGGAGGTATATGTAACCTTAATATCACTGTTTCAAGTGTATTGCAATAATTGTGATACAGATGCAAGTAAAGTGGACAAAAAGACAACTTGCCGCTGACAGAGACCGAATCTCCAATCTTCTGCCAGAGGCAACTTGACTTTTCAACCACTTTACTTTTTTCACATCAATATCACAATTATTGGAATACACTTCAACCAATATAATCCACATTCCATATACGTCTCTTGGCTTCATTATCTGCTGGTTTTCTAAGGTTATGTGAAACAAAAAAAAAATGAGTCCATGAAAATTCCCTTACTTCATTCATTCCCTGCATAAATGATACAAAATGTAGCCCAGTTGAGTGTAGCAACTCATGAATACCGTATGAAACCTTCACTCCTGTCGCATTGTCTATTTTACACAATGCACAATTTACTTTGCAGTTCAATATCAACCTTTTCAGAACAGGTAGAGAAAGGTTAACTTAAAAAGAAACTTACTCCTCGGGATAAGCACTTGATCGTTCAACACCACCAAGTAAGTGAAAAAGCGATTACTTCTGCTCATGCTTCGCAACTCAGCACTTTCAAGGCAGTGCATGCATTAATTACCGCGGACACTCCTAAGTGTGGTTTGTTTCTAATATTCTGCCAAGACTCTTTTTTTGTGTGTGTGCACTTGGCTATACCAATTTCAATTGCTTTGCATTTTTACTACAGAACTAAAAAAGTCCACCACCTACATTTCAATTCTTCGACTGCTAGAGTGTCTCCTTAAATCACCCACCTTGGATCAAAACTGTGAACACAGGCAGTTTACATATTAATAATGAAACTCGATAGTCTCAAAAACGTCACCATGAAGTTTTTTTTTTTTTTCTATGAAATCACCCCAACATTCCAGAAGCAGCAAGCAGTGACTATCGACTTGTTATGAAGGCAGGTTCGGGAGTTGGTGATTCATAATACTTGAAATACGAGCGCGTTAAACAGAGACGTAGGCTCGTCCTTAATTGTCCTCCAAAGTTCCTGTTTAAATTACGCGCTCGCTTTTCGAGGTACAAAGGAGTCACCAATAAAGAGCATTATTGTATAGCGAAGAAAAGCAATAAGATGAGCGACAGATACTGCTGTAATCGCGACATGGCTGTAATCGACACACGTAACTAACCTTAGGCAGACACCAGTGGGATGTGGAACTATTTTTTCATGACCCGGGATTTCGGGGACAAGCCTTCAGGAAGTGGCGGAAGAAATCACCATGCTTTTGAAACTGATGAAGCGCAAAAAACATGGGAGAAAAATCACAGCATATCGAAGAGATGAATAATGACTAGTGGGGCGAAGCACGCACGGACAGACAGACGGACTGACAGACGCTTCGCACCACTCATCATCATTCACTCCGGTTGAATGCTCTGACACCGTTTTTATTGACATGCAATGCAATTTTATGACCCTGAAAACTGGTTACTACGACAACACGGGTAACACGATTGTCACGTGGGTGCTTCAGCGTAAACAAAACTCACCGTCATACAAACTCCTCCAGGATTCATTGTAGAGTTTTACGCATTCTTCGAGCTCGGCACAAGCTTTCATCGCGCTTGTTTCCATCGCTGCAATGACATCCATGGTAGAACACCCTGAATAAGGACCACGACCAGCATAAGTTGACTCGTTCACAGAACACCTACTGACTCGCTCGTTAAGTTCAAAAGTTCAAATGAGGCACCACAACAAATGGATGGATGAATGCATGGATGAATGGATATGACTGTACCCTTTAACACGGGCAGTGGCTCACGCCATCTAGCCGTAATGCTTAGTGAACTAAAAATTAGATAATTCTTTTTGTTTCTTTAAATAGTGAAGTTAAAAACTGGTACTTTGCAGTGAAAAGTTTAGTTTTTACTCGTGCCTTGACTTTAGCCGCCAATCAGATAAACTCCTTTTAGTTATTTCAACCCGCCTAAAGTCTATTTTGCCCTCCCTGTCACTAAACTCCAGTGCTTTTAAAAACTCTGCGCCATCATCCTGAACTATAAGGTGAAGCCGTTTACAGAACATTATCAAGTGTTCGGCTGTTTCCTCCCCTCTCCACACTGCATACCGTGTCTACCCCTTCGTATTTGGACCGATATGTCTTGGTTCGCAACACTCGTCGTCCTGGCCTCAAACAGTAGAGAACTACCCCGAGTATTATCATAGATCCTTACCTTGGCAATTTCCTGCTTAAACGTTCGGTAGATCGCCAGTGCGGACTTCTTAATCATGCAAATTCTTATCTCGCTTTCACTACAAACACTTCAAATTGCGTGGCCCAAGAACAAGTAAAAGCCCAAAGTCTCGCGAGCCGCAATTTCAAGAGTGGATGAGCGAAGCGCAGCAGCTCCCATCAAAAACGAGTCATGCAGAACTAGGCAAGTTTACAATATATATAATATTAATATATTGCTGCGGCCTACGCCACCAAAGTAGCAGCGCCCCCCCCCCCCCCCCCCGCCACCACCCTCCTGCGACCTTTGAATAACGCGTTCGATGCTCCACCACTGAGCTACCACGGCGGCTATCCCCCCACCCACTTCGATGGGTATACATGTGAATTTAACGTGGGAGTGGTGGTGGTGGTAGTGGTTAGAAGATGAGAAAAGGCACCTAATTTCTGCAACCCGGTCGGGAGCACGGCGCAGTGCCTGCGGGGAAGGGAAAAGGGAGAAAAGTGGAAAGAAGAGGAAAGATTAATTGAGCAGTGGAACGGTCGTCGTCAACAGAAGCAGCAGTCCAGAAGCAAGGGTAGGGGTGGCAAGGGCCCCATCCTCAGCGGTAGGCCACGATTCCCGTCTCATCCAGGAACTCCACCAGGCTCCGGAGCGCTGGTAGATGGGGACGAGATGGGAACAGTAGGTGGGCGTGCCAGTCGGCGCCACCAGTAGCCATGTCGGCGAGTGTGGCACACTCTTTATGAGCCTGTTTGACGTCACGTTGCACGTTGTTATGACCGTCATCGTTATTGAAGTGTTTCGGCCTTTACGAAATGCACAAAAATATTTTGACGCATTCCAAGCAAGGATGTGCCGTCAAAACGGGTTGGTTTCCTGTAAGCAAAACGCGAACAAGGGGTCCAGGACCGGTTTGCGCAAAGAAAACGCACGAGCCAAGAAAGGCCATTGTGAGCTCGACCCTATGCATAGGAGGCTATGCCCTATGCAAGGCTTTCTAGGCAGCCAAGAAGCAGCTGGGCCATTCTCGAGGTCAGCGAGGATCTGGAAATATCAGAACCAGCATGGTATTTGCAGTTCGGGCTGAAAGCTAAAACCAAAGTGGTTGTGGCTGCATCTTGCGAGGAGGAGCGGAGCCCCAGATAATCGCGGCTAAGCCGCAGCTTCTAGCAAACAACGAGTAATGGAATGTGGGGTTGAAGGAAAGGAAAAGGCACTATCTGCTACGGGAGTTCGCCTCGACAACGAGGGATGAGTCGACCACTCCTTCTTTCCCCTTTCTCCATAGGATCGGCGGAATGGAGTGGCATGTTTTGACGCTATGCTGGCGGACCACTACATTGTCCTACCCGAACGCAGTGAGGCAAGTTTGACACGTGTACCGGGAGCCAGTTTTTTGAACCTCACCCAACTGCCAGAAGAGTCTTGGAAACCAAGGTCATCTAAGATCATCGGACGTGCGCGAAATCTTGGTGACGTGTGCGAAACGTCGGTGCAGTGCGTTTGTGACCACATTTGGGCATCGTGTAGACTGTGCCCTTTCCACATGCATTCTGTGGTGTCTTTCCCCTCCTTTGTGGGTGGAGCACCTAGACCATGGAGCGCCGTATTGGCTGAAGCCTCGGACAATGCGCCCAGGGTAGGCAACACGGTGCTATATAAGCGGAAGACTTTTGTATATTTGAAGCTACACAGTTCAACAGTTCTCCTGTACAGTTCTGATCTCTTGATCACCTCTTTTCGAATTCTCAGCTACTAACCATGTAAATAAATTGTTGTCGTTTTTACGAGCGCCTCATCTGACTTGTTCGACGATGGGTTCTAGGATGGGGGCCCGCTACCAAACTGAGACCCACGGGACCCAGAGTCGCAACAACGTGCACTTATTACGAGCTGGCCGCTGACCAATAGTCCCTCGTATACAATCTAAAGGCACCAAGTCCGCCAGTACGAGACCCTCGTTAATAAGAAAAGAAGTGTACATTTAAGGGCTCCTTTTTTGGTGTTTGACACAATATTAATGAGATCTGAGTTATTTGACGTAAGCATGTGGGAGGTAGTGGCCAGATACTGCACCAGGGTGGCCAATCCTTCTCTGGTGAGGAAGTGCGTTCTCGGCGGTGTTTGCCGGTGAGGCCGCACCCCAGGCCTCTTAGTGCAGTTTCATCAACACGCAGATTTTTTTTTTTTTAATCCGGTTGGGAACTGCACGGTACCGGGATTTGAACCACGGACCTCTTGCATGCGAGGCGGATGCTCTAACCACTACGCCATCGCCGCGCCACAGATCTAACAGACAATAATGAGATCTAACAGACAATAATACCAAGGAAAATATAGGGGAAGTTATTAGACTGAATTGTAATGTAAATATCAAGAAAGAAAAGTGGGTGAAAAGATAACTTGCCGTGGGCAAGAACTGAACCTGAAACCTTCGAATAACGCATATATATATATATATATATATATATATATATATATATATATATATATATATATATATATATATATATATATATATATATATTGTATTGATGTATCTCACCTTTGCAGCATGCCAGTATTGTTGTGTTGTGGTTTTCATGCTGCTCTGTGCACAACAGAGATGAGTTTTTTGCCCTTTGCAATTGCCTATGCCATTATTAAATGTTCTTGCCTGTTTTTAGGCTTCTTCTTACAGTTGCACAAAGCCAGATCTGTTGTTTAACATATTTATAATATTGCTAATGTGTTTCTATGGTGACCGGCTTTCAGTGAGCTAAACTTGCTTTATGTGTCCAACTACGTGTACTACCACTAACAAGGTAGGGTCACCCTTTTAATTTTTGTTAATGGTGCAAATAGTCTGCTTTTGTGCCATTCTTAGTAGGCTTCCTAAATATAGTGCAGAAGTTGATGCTGCCAGCCCTCACTGTCCAGAGCCACATTACTTACTGCTCTTCACCTTTTGTCAAAGAACATAATTTTGCACATTATATTCTGGAGTTTCACTTTAAAAACTATAATGAATTATGTGCCATAATGTGCCATAATAAAGGGCTTTATATTAACTTTTACCCCCCTGGGTAACGCGATATGATTTACACCGAAAGTACGTGGGCACAATGGCACTATGCCTTTGCTATAATGGAGTCACTTGACTGCTAACCTGAAGATCATGGGTGCGATCCTTGCAGTCAGAGGCTGTCCCATTCAGATGGAGGTAATATGCTAAAGGCCCATGTGCGATATCTGTGCAGGTTAAACACCACCAGTGGTAAAAATCGCCAGAGCCCTCCACTGTGGCAACCTTATAATTATATCATGGAATATGGTTAATATTATTATAGTTGTTTTTATGTCTCCATCAAAATGTGGCTCTATCAGCTCTGATTTAATCCCGCCATCTCATGCTCAGTATCAGATCGCCTTAACTGTCTGAGCCAGTGCACCATGTGAGAATACATTGTTGTGTAGAGAACTTCACTTTCTCAATGCGTGGGAGTGACAGCAAACGGATTTTTTTAGTAAGTTACTTTCAATAATTTTTGCTTTCTGTGACAGTTTTCCTGTGAATCGTATGTATGTAGTGGGAAAATAACGTTTAATAGAGGCGTTTGCTTTCTTTGCATTTGCTTGAATGAGACCTCCTAATTTAACAGGTCGACTCCACGGAAACATTAAGACGTTGGGGTGCAAGTTGAAGACGTGGAATGGGCCCGACCCTACTGAAATGACATACGCTAGGGGTGTGTCATGTACTGTTTTGTTATATCACAGCTTTGTCTCTCATTAGTAGTTTCTGCCATACTTGTCGATACATATTTCTGCAATATTTAATTCCACTTTACACGTACTTAAACATGCCTATTAATGTATACAACATCTAGCCACAGTGCACAATGTGTGTGTTTTGTTCTTAAATAAATAAGTGTGTATGCAATACACTTGGCTCAGTGTTTTTGTAGCACAAGCGTACGTTTAGCATTATATGTTGCCATCTGTCAAATTTCATTGAATGAAACTGTTGCGATTTCAGAAGTTCAAATCATGCATAAGTTTTTCTATGCTTTGAGGGGCTAATTTGATTAGTTCTTTTCGAAAGTGCACTTTTGTAAAAAATTTGTGTGCTTTAGTCTAATGTCAGTAATTTTAGTGCATGTCTAGAAGGACTAATTAAATTAGCATCTGAAAGCACAGGAAAACTTATTCATGCTTAGAAGTTCTGATATTGCAACTTCAGTGATTTAAAAAAAATCTTTAGAAGACTGCTTTTAAAAAACACACCCTGAGTAAAGGCATCCCTTAATCTCCCTGTCATGTACGCAGTGTTTTATTCAGGGCTTGTTTGAGACTTGCGAGGGATAACCCGAGGTTTGGAAAAGTGCGGCCCAATCGACCTGCAAGTGATGTCCGCCAGTGTTGTTTTGCAAATGTAGTGGATATCAAATATCCGGTCAGGGGTGTCCTGTGGACATCCCTAGCATGTCGTTGTCACTGGAGGCTGGAGGCATTTCAAAGT